GTCCTGGCGGGGGTGCTGACCCCGGGTGCCGTTGCCAGCCTGCAGAATGTCATCCCCCTGGGCGAGGGGGAGGTGGACACCCCCCAGGACCCCGAGATGCAGCTGCAGGAGCAGGAGAAGAGGATCGAGATCTCGTGCGCCCTGGCTGCCGAGGCCTCGCGGCGCGGCCGGATGCTCTCGGGTGAGGAGCGGGGGGCTCGGAGGGTCAGAGCCCGCAGATCCCCGGGAGAATGAGGTGCCAGGAGGGCGGGAGAGATGGGCACACGGGGGGCAGATTTGGCCGCAGGGTGAGGGGTCAGTGGGCACGGGAGAGGGGTCAGTTTTGGGGCAGTGGGACGGGTGATGCCACCTCCTGTGCCCTGCCTGCCATGCCCGGGACTGCCTTCCCCGAGTTCCTGGCATGGAGCAGSCGGACACTGGGAATGTTTGTGAGGGTGGGAGTGGCATGGGTGGGTGGCATGAGGTGGCATGAGATGGCATGAGGTGGCACGGCTTTGCTTTGCAAGCGTGGTGGCACCCCATGTCCAGGGGATTGTGGTGGCACCCCGTTCCTGGGGGTTGTGGTGGCACCCGGTTCCTGGGGGTTGTGGTGTCACCCCATACCCCAGGGGACTTACGGTGGCATGGGGTGGCACATTGTGGCCGTGCATGGTGGCGCTTCATGCCGAGGGGGATTGTGGTGGCACCCGTCACCCAGGTGAGCATGGTGACATCCTGTCCCTGGGTGCCCGCGGTGTCACCCATGCCTTGTCCATGAGGAGCCCTGCCGGGAGCTCACGTGTGCGTGCTGTGCCCAGCTCTGGCTCTCTGCTCTGCTCTGCCCGGATTTGGCTGCTCGCCCTGTCCAGCTGCAGCTCCTTCTCCTGCCCAGCTGTGACTTTCTGCCCTGCCATCTGTGGCAGTTTGTCCTGTCCAGATGTGGCTCGGTCCCATCCAGATGTGGCTATGTGCCCTGTCCAGATGTGGCTGTGTGTCCTGCCCAGCTGTGACCTTCCCCTGTCCAGCCACGGATGTTTATCCYGCCCAGATGTGGCTCAGTCCCATCCAGATGTGGCTGTTTATCCCGCCCATCTGTGGCTCGCTCCTCCCCAGATGTGGCTCGCTCCCTCCCAGCTATCGCTCTCGCCCCTCTCCTGCTCGATCCCCCGCTTCCCTTGGCCTCTCCTCGCCGCTCCGTGTCCCCTCCCGGCCCCGCTGTCCCCTCCCCGTGTCCCTCATCCCCTCTCCCTGTCTCGTTTCCAGCTCAGTGCGCCACCCCCAGCCCTCCCACCTCCCCAGCCTCCCCGACTCCGCCGACCACCCCTCTCTCGGCCGAGCCTTCCCGGGGCGCCGACAGCAGCCACTTAATGCGGGTGTGAGCCTCTGACGTAAGCACCTCTTCTCTCTGACGTCATTCCTTCGCTCCCCTTCGCTCGCATCCCCCGAGCCACGTCAGCCCCGGCTCCTCCATGGACCGAGCGTCCCCTTCCTTCCCCCGGTGGGTGGGAAACGGGGAGGGCTCCGGGTGAAAATYGGGGAGGGGGTCCCCTGGAGCCAAATCCCCGCCGCGTTTTCCACGGGGGGGTGGGCGCGGGGCGGACCCCACCCCGCTCAGCCGCTCCGTCCTGTTCCCCTCCCCAGCTCAAGCCCTGGCTGCTGCCGGCGCCGTCAAATTCCACGGGGCCACGTTTTAGTCCCCTCCCGACGCGACAATGAAGCTCTCGCCACCGTCCTCGGTTCTCCCGGACCCCCTTCCCCCGCTCCGACCGCCCGGGGGATGCGGCACCGACGGGAGCGGCGGCTCTGCCCCGTCCCGGGAGACGCGCGGGGATTGTCCCCAAAGAGCCCCCGGGGGTGTCAGCGGACACGGGGACAGCCCCGCCGTGTCCAGCGGGGACAGCTGTGACAGCGGGGACAGTTGTGACTGTCCCGGCGGGGGGCACAGGACTCCTGGCGTGTCCCCAAAGGTCTGTGAAGRGACTCTCGGGGTGGGGACCGGTGGGGACGCGGTGGCTCCCGCCTCTCACCGGACCTGGACGCTCCTCCTCGGCTCCTCCTCGGCTCCTCCGCGGGTCCGGTYCCCTCCGCTGAGCCCCGGCCGCGCTTTTGGAGCCCGCCCGTGCCACCGCCGGTGGCTCGGCTGGAGGAGGGAGGGGACAGGATGGATGGCTGGAGGTGGCGCTGAGGGGACACGGAGGTGCCCAGGGCGCTCCGAGGGCTCTCCGGGCGGGGATGGGTGGGAGCAGAGCGGGGAATTGGGGTAACGGAGCTTTGGGGTGGGCAGGGACCCCCCTTTGGAACTGAGGGGGGGTTTGGGGACAGCGGGGTCACCTCGGCTGTCCCCGTCCTGCTGTCACCCTCCCAAACTCCGGCCCCGCGTCACCCCCGAGCCCTTCCCGCGGCTCTCAGCCCCGTCCAGCGGTTCGCGGTTCCTGTAGCAAATTTCCCCTTTTCTCACCCGTCCTGGAGGGCGGGGGAAGAGCAGAGTCCCCGCAAGGATGCGAGGAACGATGGAGCGAGGAGCTGGATCCCAAATCCCAGATCCCAAATCCCAAATCCCATCCACCTTTCCCCGCCCGATCCCAAAATCCCCCCCTCGCACCCCAATCCCCTCCCCATTTTAGCAATACTCGTAGGATCC